CTACATGGCCAGTGCAGGTTGGCTCTGATTAGGTTCTGTGTTGTCCACATTTCAGTATTTAGGGATGTGAATCAGCCCCTACCTGGAATACTGCAGTCCTTGTGACAGAACAAAAAGGGAGAATGGCAAGCCATGCATGGGCCCTTGAAGCTTCTGATGGAAAATGATGCACATCACATCAGTTCGAATTTCATGACTAAAGCAACTTCCATGATCAAGCCTGAGTTCAATAGAACAGTGACATGGGATAGGAAGAATGAATATGGATGAACAATACAATAGAGGGGGACTTTGAATATGGACAAACAATGCAATCTATCACAAGGCCCATCCTGCTTTTGTTGGTGATAGAAGTTACCCTTTCATTCATTCAATAAATATTTACCAAAACTCTCTGCTTGCTTTAACCCCAGTCTCTGAAAATTACTGATCTGCTTAATTTTATGTAAGTGAAATTATACAGCAAGTAGCCTTTCATATTTAGCTTTCTCAAGGAAACCAGTCTTATGTTGAGGCTATGAAAACAACTTATAGGTTAAAAAAGGCAAGGAAAATAGTAAGGTTCAGCAGTCTGAGTGCCCACTTACTCTGGTTTCATCCTAAGTAGTAATTCCCCAGAAAAAAAACCAAGTTTTATGTGCTAGTTATATTTTTCTAAAACCTATTCAAATAATTATTAAAGTTAAAAATGTTTATCTGAGTGCCACCAAATACACATCTCAAATAAGCAAGCCTCACATAGGAAAATATTTCCTTAAAAGACCATGACAATTTTTTATACTTCTAACAGTCTCATTCTCTCAGTCATTGATTTTTGGCCATTGAGTCTTAAAGTGGCCATCAGCAAAATTTATAATTATAACGCTCAAATCTCCACACATAGCATTGTAACATATACTTTACATACTAACATGTAACATGTTTACTTTACTTTTAAAGATGAACTCAAACCTTTTCATTTTGCTTTCTCCCTTTATTTCCCATTTTATTTGATTGCGATTAGAAAAATTTGCTTGGATATAATAGAAACCAAAACCACATCTAATAAAGGTGGGAAAATTGAGACTTGCTATGAAGTATACATAAATTGGGAATACTTTCTGCAGGATATGAGATGTGAAGAGTTTCACAATAGATAATCAAGCCAGGAAAACAGAGAGTGTAGCACCGTCAGACCACAAGCATACCAAAGAAAGTGTATGGTGATAAACATTAAGTTAAACATTAAACAAACAATCAGTCTGAGGATCTATGAGAAGAGCTAGAGCTTATGGAAGTTCTCATTTTCTACCATACTCTACGTAATCACAAGAACCCTATAGGAAGAGTTCTATGGCTGTAACTTTCCCTTCCCTTAACTTCCTTTTCATTTACATAAATACTTGTCCACCTTGGCATGCACACAGGCCAGAGTGTGCATGTGGCTTGCTATGTCTGCATGCACTGTGTTGCAACTCCTTTTTCCTGAATACATCCTTTTTGGTGATGAAATACCTAGTTGATAATATTTTTTAGTCAACAACAGGAACATTTTGAGGTGCAATGCCTGTAAACAATTCTGTATGTGCACTAATTCTTCCCATAGGGTTACTGTCACTTCCACATTTCCAGGCTAAAACTCAGCAGTTTTCTGCGTGCCTGTATATGATTGTAGAGGTCCCAGCAGACTGAGTCACTAAAGAGTGCTCCTGGTGTGGTTAGCACTGATAATAGGATCCATGAAGACCCATGTCTTTCTGTAGATAAGGCCTTTTCCTTAGGAAATTAGAACTCAGAGTGGTCCCTAAGAAACAATGGAAGTTTGAATAAGAAAAAGGTATAACTTTAATTTAAAATTTCCTGTCATGTTTGTCTTTTGACAATTTTTGCTGGTTGGTTAAGGCTGAAGGAAGTTTTAAAGGGTGATGGACAGGAACACCATCATGACTATAGGTGTGTGAGTCCTACTTCTATTTCTCCAGTGTTTTTCACTGGGGTGGTATTGGGTCAGACTGGAAGATACCAGGCAATTTTGAAATACAAAAGTGTACCAAAGTCTATCTGGAAAGGTGTGTGCAAACAGGAAAGGCATAGTTATACCCACTTTGCCTCATCAAATGTATGGGTCCAGAGGCCTTTCATAGCACTCTGTGGGATATAAAGGAGCTGGATACCCAATTCATCCTGCTTGACTGGCTGTTTGGTACGAATGATAGATTAATCTGGGGCTTTGAATAAAGTGATGGGATCCATCTGAGTCTTTGTACTAGTTAGGTTTTGTCATTTTGTGGGAACCTATGAGAAACAGTTTCTCAGATTTTTTACATGCTACTACATACGTTAGCTGTTCAACTGTCTTTCAAGTGGAGGTCATTTCAAATGACCTTTATATTTCAAATATAAAGGTCAACTTTATATTTGGTGATAACTTCCTGGTTCTAGTTCTAAACCCTGATTAGTTCAAAATTGGTCTGACTTAAATACATAGTTACATTTAGAGTGTACCTAATTCTATCATAAGTAAACGGTGATTTTCTATTGGAAACACAACTGAATTTTCCTCTTTTTGTCTGAAGATTGCTCTGAGGGTTTAAGTCACTAAAATGTGTACAGACCTTAGGACTATTTCTACATTTAACATGTCATTGTAATATTAATATTTTTACTTGCACTGATATTAAACTTTCTCAACTTAAAACTTCAAATCCATCTCAAATACTGCAAGATCAAAATTTACTTTCCTTTTTTTAATTCTAATTTTTAAATGCTCACCAAGCATATGTTTATTGATTTGAGAGAGAAACATCGATGTGAGACAGAAACATCAATTGGTTGCCTCCCATAGGTATTCAACTGGGGATCAAAGCTACCACCTAGTTATGTGCCCTTAATGAGAGATCAAACCCACAATTTTTTGGTATATGGGAGAAACTGAGCCATCCCACCAGGGATATTTTGCTTTTTTTAGAACAAAAATGCTTCCATAAACAAAGCTCACTTTGTATTCAGAATTCTTTTTCTTGCCCCTGTGTAGAGAAGCAGTAGAGAACAATGGTCAGTTACACATACATGGATTCCAAGAAGCTAAACAAAAAGAACATGTCATTCAAGCAAAATAGGTTATGGAAATTTTAAATGAATAGAGAAAATGGCACCTAGCTGAGAGGGGAAAAAAGGATCATTTCCCTTCTCTGAACTGTACTGGTTGAACTAAATTAACAAAATCTCCCAAAATAAAAAATTTTCAATAATTTCGTTATTTGTTTTTAAAAGCACCTAAGTGCCCACCAGTAAATGAATGGATCAAAAAACTATGGTACATTTACACAATGGAATTCTATGCAGCAGAAAGGAGCTCCTACCATTTGGACAGCATGGATGGAGCTGGAGACTATTATGCTAAGTGAAATAAGCCAGGAGATGAAAGACAAATACCATATGATCTCACCTATAAGTGGAACCTAGTCAATAAAACAAATAAGGAAGCAAAATATAACCAGAGACATTGAAATCAAGAACAATCTGACAGTAACCAGAGGGGTGGTGGAGAGGGATAAGGGGGAAAACAGGGGAAGGGCCATCAAGGAACATATATAAAAGACACATGGACAAAGCCAAAAGAGGTAGTTTCGAGAGTAGGTGTCAGGGAAAGGTGGGGCATGGTGGGATGAAAATGGAGACAACTGTACTTGAACAATAAAAAATAAGTAATAATATTTCCCAAAACGGCAATTTTCCCCAGTAAATACAGGGTCATACCAAAAATAAAAAAACTCCTTTGTTTTAAACCTTGTTGCAGAAAATAATTCTAAAAATGTATCATTTACTACTTTAGCGAATGCCTACAGCTCACACGTCTGTGAATTTTTGATATGAAATCTATCTATATAGATTGTATCTACAAGAATTTGTATGTGCTCCAAAATATAGTCTGGACCCAAGTTACTTTTAATTGAAGAGGTGTCAGTTTTCTTGCGATGAATCTGTCTGGTCACACTTCCCTTCTTCCCCCATAAAATGAGTCTTCCACTAACTTAAATGATACTCTATAAATTCCCTTAACAGTTTTCGTTAAACCAGTTTTTCTTCCAGGTACTTGTATCTTGTAAAACCCAAATCAAAATGAAAAAGAAGCAATAGCTTATTGGCCACGTGGACAAAGGGAATCTTAGTTTTACGCAAAAATGTACCCACGTATGGAAACTGCGCAACTGGTCAGCACTTCGGTGAAGTCATCTGACGTCGTTTCACTTGCGTTATTTAGTGGCCAACCCGTTTCCTAAGATTTAACGTTAGTAACAGTGATTAGTTTCGCAACATGTCAAAGACTTTGGACCGTTGCCGTTTACTTCTCGGCAATATTAGATTCAATTAGGTCTTGCCATCTCCTTGCCTGTAAGGACTGAACACAACCCCTACCGTTCGGCGGTTATTTTTTCCAGGAAAGTCAAAACATCCCTCAAAGGATCAAAGATCGGTCATAAAGCCAGAGGAAAGCCGGGTCGATGTGACAGTTTTAAATGGGCCCATCAGACCTTATTCCTCACCTCGGGTCTTTAGATTTTAAAGGGAGGGTTAGGAAGATCAGAAAGGACGAGAGAAATAGAAAAGGTTCAGTCTTTACGCCAAGCCGGAAACAAAGGTAACTGCGTGAGGGTCAAGGGAGAGGAAGCTCCTCAGCCCCCAGCCCAGTCGCGTGACTTCTGGACGACTCAGGCAACGAGCCAGGACTGGTTAAGACAGAAAGGTGTGCTCAAGGCGGGCGAACCGGTGATTGCGAGAGAGGCGTGAGAGGCAAACCCCTCCTCCCGTACCCTCCAGGCATGGCCGGGAAATGAAACCAAGGCGCAGACCTGGGTCAAAGGCCGGGCTGGCCCAACAGCCAGCAGCTTCCCAGAGTGGGCGTCTCCTAGGAGGAGCGCGTGCCGCACGTCGTCCTCGCCTGCCTCGCCCCCTACGCGCTGCGCACGCGCGGCCGCGCCCCGCCCCTCGCGTCGGCGACTGGATAATGGGGCGGGGGCGGGGAGCTGAGGTGCAGAAGCTATCCAAGTACCCAGACTGCGTGTGCGCAAGCTGCCGCCACTGCCGCTACCGCCCCTGCCGCGTCAAGGCTACCGGGCAGTCCCTCCTAAGGCCCCTCCTACCCTCTCCGTTTCCCCACCATCTCCCCCTCCCCCTTTGACCGAGCGGTGACTTAAGCAACGGAGCGCGGTGAAGCCCAGTTTTTTTCTCCTTTCTCGCTGCGGCGCCGGACAGCCGGCGGCTCGCGGCCCCCACTCTGGCCCGAAATGAATGCTGCAGCAGAAGCCGAATTCAACATCCTCCTAGCCACGGACTCCTACAAGGTAGAGGCCAGGGGAGGGGGCAGGTGAGGGTGGAGGAGAGGGCACCTAGGGAGCGCGCGCGAGGTTGCGAGCGGGGGGCGGCCGGTCGGGGTCGTAGCGCTAGACAGCCCCAAGGGAAGGCGCGGGCAGCGTCGCGGGGCAGGTGAAGCTGGCGCTGCAGTGGGGAGGAGGTGGATGGAGGGATGGATGGCAGGAGGCGGGGCCTGGCGTTAGTCGGAGGGGCGCGGCGAGGGGCTGAGGCGGGCCCTGTAAGTGCCGACTGCGTGCAGCTTCGCGCGCCACTCGGCGCACGGGGCTCAAGGCTCAAAGCTCGGGGCTCCAGGCTCCAGCTGGGTCCGGGGTTGGGTGGTCTTGGGTGTTACCGGCCGAGCGCACGCCTTACCCAGGAGCGCGGCCTTCTGTCCCTGGGCCGGGCTGGATTGGCCTGGGCAAAGTTTCGCCTGAGGAGCGGGTCAGTTAATTAAGTAACAGCAGCCCCTGGGGCTCGGCTACGGAGAGAGGGAGCGTGGTTTGAGAAGTGGGGTTTTCCCCGCGGAGCTGAGTCGGCTGCTCTCAGCCCTTGCTTAGGCAGATAATGTCTGTTTGTGAAGGTGTGGGTGAATTCCTAGTAGGGGTACGGGACCAAGTCAGCCACATTCCTCTGCCGATGGCCCGGGTACGGAGGACGCTTATCTGTCCCTGGTAGCCGAACTGGACTTTCTTGCCCCACTTCACTGGGCTCTGTTTCAAACTCCTGTGCTCCTGTTGATCACTCACTGACCTTAACCCCTTGTTTCAAGCAAAGGACCATAAAAGCTCTTAAGGCCACTACCGGACTTCTGTGAAAAGGAAAGTGAAACTCGAGGAGTTAAATGAACTTGTAGTTTAAACCTGGACAACTTTTATGCGTACTAGACTGTTGCATATACATAGCTGCCCCATTAACTTTATTTGAAACACTCACTAGAAAAGAAAGATCAGAAAAAATCTGGCAGATGTTCATTCTCCTAGTTTCCAAATTATATGACATGAATCATATGACTATACTTTGCTAAGCTTTGTTAGCCAAGACACCAAAAAGTGTCTTGAAATGCCAGATCAAAAACTTCACTTTAGAAAATGTATTTTAGTTTTTATTTGAGCAACATGATGGTTTGAAATACAGTGTTAGAACATAATGCGATCATGTTTTTGGTGGGTTTTTTTCTTTTTGTTAGTTTTATTAAACATTAAAAATATTTTGGAGAATCCCATTTTACTTAAGTTCGGTTTTGTCCATTTCTCCTCAATTGGCGTAAGGTTCTATTTAGAATTGTTTAGATGGGTTATATAAAGTAGACTCAAGTTTCATTAACAAGTGGTCTTTTTAGTGGACTTAGATCATATTATTATCATACATTTGGCCCTAAAACTTCCTCATGTGTTCTCTTAGTTCAGTCATAATGTTTTGAGTATTTCTAATAGTGATTTTAAAGTGATTTCATTCATAGATTTTTAAGTAAATTTTTTCTTAACTAAATCTTTAAAATCTTCAAAATTTTAATGTAATAATATGATTTGACTGAATTGGGAAATGTAAACAGATGTTGACTGATCTTTTAAAAACAAAAGAGTACAACTTTGTAGTTCCTCTCTAGCCATTATTCATAAGGAATGTAAAATTGCTTTAACATCAGTTTCCTTAATTAGAAGAGTGAGTTACCTTTAAGTTTTCTAGTATCCTAGTTGGGTATGCTTAACTGCATGATTAGTATTTGCATGTATTTAATAAAGTTTATTGCTGTTCATTTTCAAGTGAGACTGGTATATTTGATTGGTATATTTATCCCCTTTCTAAAATGAAAACATCTTAGAAAATGTTCATCTTATTAAGATTTGTCCTTTTCCACAAAAGATTCCCTCAAGAGGGTTTAATCAGATTGACATGTCTTTATGCTAGTGGTTTACAGCAGTACGGGAAAAGAGATTGGGTATTCCATACTGACATTTTAATGTTTTAATTTTATTTTCCCTTCATTTTTAGTGGTCTTTATAGCCTGTATTCCATTTTTGCCTTTTTATCTTCTTGGGTAAAGAAGAGACAGAAATGGTCATTTTGAGATTAGAGCTAATGAAACTTTTATTTGGAAATTACATAATGTTACATATACTTATTTGTACTTACAAACTATTGGCCAGGTAGAAAACTAGTGGCTTTAGATGTGTTGTTGGAATAGAACAGAATGTTGTTGATTACTTTCTAAAACTGAAGAAAGGATCATTGGTTATCTAAGGAATATAAAAATGTATTTTGCAGGTAGATAAGGTAATGTCCATGCACTAGCCAACATTTGGATGTTTTGTTTTTACTTACCTCCTCTTCAAAGAGTTCAGGACAGTTTGGATCAAAGGCAGAACATTTAAAATATATGTTCATTTCTGTAATCTCATACTTTATTATATATAATAAAGAACTGGGACAACAGATAAATATGGTTGTTTTGTTTTCACCCTAGATTCTTCTTTACAAATAAAAAAGACACTCAACTCTTAAGTTTTAATCATCTTCAGTCACTTCAAAATGGCTTGGACCCTAGCTGGCGTAGCCAGTGGTTTGAGCTCAGGCCTGTGACCCAAAGGGTCGCTGTTTCGATTCCCAGTCAGGGCATATGCCTGGGTTGTGGGCCAGGTCTTCCACCAGGGTTGGGGGCATGCAAGAGTCAACCACACGTTGATGTTTCTCTCCCTCTCTTTCTCCCTCCCTTCCCCTCGCTCTAAAAATATATAAAATCTTTAGGAAAAAATGGCCTAGAACAAAATTATCTACTGAATTGTATTTATATTGTGCTAAGCCAAGTAGGGAAAGATGCATTTGGGTTGGCCTTAGCCATTGCAGTGCTTAAACAGCATTTCGTAAGGGAGACACATCTTTTTTTTTTCTTCTTTTTTTTAACTTTTCTCTTGGATAGCCTTAGATCATCTTTCTAGTAACTGTGGACCTTTAAAAGATTCATTTCTGTTCCATTCTTCCTTTCCCTTCTATGTAGATAAATGTTCATAACAAACTACTGCAAATAATAATTTTAACATTTCTGAATATTCTACTTATTAGCAGATTAATTGAAGATGTTGCCAATTGAACTGTTGTTGAAAAATATATAGTATATAAAAGTAATCCCTAAGCAACTTACAGTTTGAACCACATCACACATTAGTTGTGAACTCTGCTGTCCAGTATGGGTTTCTTCTCAAAGGTCATTTGTCAACAGATTATCTAGACCTCAGCACATTTTCATCATTCATTCAGTAAATAATGGAAAACTTATGAAAGTCTGTATAATTTATGTATGGTGATTAGATACCAAAGGCAGCTTTAAAAAAAAAGAAAAGATTTTGCCTCCTTGTTAATGGCAGAATAACAAAGCTTAAACGTTTGGCTTTTTGGAGGAAAAGATTTAGGGTTAATGAGAGACATCTTAGAGCCAAGTTAGTCCTGTCTGGATTTCAGCTACCCAGCATCTTCCTCTGAGCTGTTACTGTTTGTCATGTTGCTTGCCTTTCCCTGCTTCTGAATGGACATTGAAGTATTATCACAGTGGCTCTCATGGCAGCCTGAATCTTGTGAGCACTAGGGTACTGCTGTAGTTTGTATGTCAGAGAGTACCTGTGTGTTCTTATGATGCATTTTTTTTAATTCTTACCCAAGGATATATTTATTGATTTTAGAGAGAAAGAAAGGGAGGAGGAAGAGAGAGAAACATTGATCTGTTGGTTGCCTCCTATATATGCTCCAGCCAGGGATTGAACCTGCGACCTGGTATGTGCCCTGACTGGGGATCGAACCCACAACCTTTTGGTGCACAGGACAGTTCTTCAACCAACTGAGTTACCAGCCAGGGCTTATGATGTACTTTTTCCAGGAAGTTTTTATTATAGGAAAAATCAGGCAACAGAAATAAATCCTATGTATAAATCATGAATGTACTTCATAGGAAACTTAATTTAGGTCAGTAATAATTGTATAATATCTTGCGAAACAAAAATATCAGAAATTGATGTCCTCTTTGTCAGTTGATTAAATCTCTTTTTAAAGTATGGAGGAGGATATAAGTTGCCAGGAACTCTGTCAGGAGGTTTAAGGGAAGAGATAGTGTAATGGTTATAGCTGATTTTATAGTGTCTCTCCTTCCCCAAAATAATGTAATCCAAAAAAAATCCATAAGCTGTATTTTTTAAGTCCTTGCTTAAAAAGCCAAATTACAATGGATTATTTTCTGAGGAAATAAGAGGTATTTCTAGGGCTTGAGAAATCATGTTATGTTGAAAAGAATAAATTCAGTTGTGCTTTTTGCTATTTCTTGCACATTAGCTTTGTAGAGAGTCTTAGCCAGAGTAAGGCTGAGTGGATCCTCTTCTGAGTGCCCTCAGATATGTGCAGATAACTTAGTCTGTGACCTTGGGTATGTACCCCACATGCTCTTTTATGCACATGGTATTGTTAAAATGTTGGTTTGTGATTATTTATTAGAGGTTAGAAATTGTAACTGGAAAAGGAGGTTAGTAGTTACCTTTGGTCATGCAATCCCATTGGGACAGGAAAGATAACAAATCAGCCTTATAGAAAATCTAGAGAAGCTCAGGAAAAAGTTAGACTTTGCTCTCACAAATGTTTTATGCAACTTAAATATTTTTCATACTTCTCTTTAAATGTCATACTTGGAATTACAATTTTTAGAAGCTTATCTTTTCATGAAGTAAATCAATCACATGCCTGAAATTGTTATACTAAGAACTACACCTTCCTGTGTGCCTGTGTTCTTTATCACATCAATATTTATGTACCTGCAGCACTGTATTAGCTGTAAGAAGGCAGTACCGGTTTAGGAAACATTTTTAGGAAAAGGGTTTACTGAGGATATTCTGAGAAATCTATTATTTTTTCTTCATCTGTAATTAATTTTAAATTTATTGTGGAACCATTTTCTCTGGGGATCAAAGTCAAAACAGTGCTTAAAAAATATTTGAGCTCCCTATTTGTAGTTCACTTTAATTTTGAATTTCATGAAAATTTGTTAGTATTCCTTAACATGTAAAACTGAGCTCTCAATTTCCTACCTATTCCTTCCAAAGCCTTCTCCATCTCAGTAAGTGACACCATTATTTACCCAGTTGCTCAAGCCAAAAATCTAGGAGACATTCTTAATTCTTTCTCCCCCGCCTTGTCTTCCATATCTAGTCTATCAGCCTACTTTTCCCTTACGTCCTAGGTTTTGAGTCAGTTCTCTCACCTGGTCTAGTCATTCGCAACAGCCTCTTATCTGATGCTCCTGCTTCTGAAACTCTGGTCACCCTCCAATCCATTCTCCACCTCACCACAAGGCTAATCCCTGTAATATGTGAATCACTCCATCTTAAAACATACTCATAGCTTCCCATTGCACTTGATAAAAATTCAAGCTACTTATTTTAGCCTGTAAGCCTTAACCTGATGTTGTCTCTGTAGCTCTCTGACTTGTACCCTGTACCCCCTCCTCCCCATTCTCTAAGCACTAACCACTCTGACCTTCATCTTTTCTGTCCTTCAGGTCAAGTTATTTCTTTCCTCCTTGTTATGTTCTTGCTCATATATCACCATCTCAGAAGCCCTCCTGTTCTTCTATTTAAAGTAGTCTCCCAGGTCCCTGTAGCCCATCGTTTTCTTTTAATTTTCCATAGTATCCATATAGATCCAAAGTTATTTCATTTATTTATTGTTTTTTGACTTTCCACTCTTCTTTAGCCCTATGGGAATAGAAACCACTTTAGTCTCTGCATTTCCCTATCATCAGCATCTAAAACAGATCCTGACACACAGTAAGTACAGCATGTAAAGGGTGGGGCAAAAGTAGGTTTACAGTTGTCAGTACATGAAACAGTTTATTCTTGTTTTATGTTAATTATTGTGTTATTTGCCACATAAACAGACAACTGTAAACCCCACCCTGTATATTTGTGGATGAGTGAACTATTTATAAAATAAGACTCTATTGACTTCAATTTCTGTTATATCATCTCAGGGTTTTTGGGTTTTTTTTGGCAGTTCTGTTATATCATCTCAGTTTCTGATGAAGATTCCAAAGGGTTCAGAGTGACCAGTTTAGCAGAAAGTGAAACGAAGAGGACAAAAAAACCTAGCAAAACTAGAATTACTGTAAATCATTCATTGGTTATAGTTTTAGAATAATATTTACTAAGATGCTCTGTATAAAATGATTTCCCATAAAATAATGTTATATGTCAGTATAAATAGATGTGAGCATACTCTTTTATTTCATAAAACTATTGGGTGTTGGTAGATCGTTAGTAGTACATGATGTTTCATGGTTTATTGCCTGAGAGTTTACCTAGATGACTTAGAGCAGGGGTGTCAAACTCATTTTCACTGGGGCCACAGAGGTTGGCCTTCAAAGGGCCATATGTAATTTTAGGACCGTATAAGTGTAACTGCTCCTTAACTAGGGGCAAGGAACTTGGTGCTGCCACTGGGTAGAAACAAGGTGCCGGGCTGAATAAAACAAGGTGGAGGGCCGGATTCAACCCATGGGCCTTGTGTTTGCTACCTATGACTTAGATTCTTTAGCTAAATTCTAAAACTATCCTCTTTGATTTTCCCAAAGAAGATTTTAGAAGTCATATTTCATTTCTAATTTAGCAGCCTAGACAATTTTTTCCACAGAAAGGATTCGGAATATTTATGAACAGGTTTTAAGTACCGTAATTAAAGAATACAGGTAAAATGAAGCATTAAAATTATAACATTTAATTGTTGTCCAGAACTTGTAAGATTGAAAAGTTTTACTATACCGTTATACCAAGATGGAGTTATGTAGTTTAGGGACATTTCCATTTAGATTTTGACTGCTTGATCTACTCAGAAGATGAAAATAATACATTTGCATTTTTATCCAATATAGAAGAAGCCATTTATAAAAATGCATCATTTAGTATCTGAGCAATAAAGAAGATCAAAACTATTGGCAATCACAATGGTGAATCTTTTACAAACTTTAGTGATGTGATCCAGACCTTTATTCAAATTTTGCTTCATCATAATTGGCTTTTATCTCACTGCTTATTCCCATTCAAGTAGTTGGAGTTATTTAGATTGTAAGCTGGACATTTTCATTTTTGCATACATTTGCATTTGGGTACATACATCTTGGGTACGTTTTTAGGTACTGGTATCTTTTTCAATCAATTTCTTAGGTAGTTGAAAGAGTTACTAGGGTAGTTAGTTGCATTTGTTACTAGGGTATCACATGTATGGGGTGTGTGTGTGTGTGTGTGTATTTGCTTTTTAGTGAATTGCCTAATAGATTTAATTGCTCTAGATTTACAGTTGTTATCAGTCCCTGGGTTCTAACCTGAAAGAAACTGGCAAATACTCCTGGGTTTTGATGAGGCCTCCCTATGCCTAGTAGTACATAGGTATCAGTTGTATCTGAGCAAAACAGAAAGTTCTAACTCTTGTTGCCTGACTCAGGCAATCAGACCACATATTAATATAAACATTCATCTCCAAGATTGCCAATAAGCAACTTGAAGGTGCTATTTTTATGGAGTTGTAAATTGCTTCTATTAGAGAGGAAACATTTTAAATATTTGTGATTTTTTTGCACTCTATACAGAGTATATTTGAGAATTTTGTGCTAAGCTGCAAAGAGTCTTTAGATTAAAATTAAGTTGTACATCCAAACAAGGAAAATGTTGTTTTTCCTAAACTTGTAATCAGAGCCAAACAGGAAAAATGGTTAATGTTCACAGTGGTTGTCCAGGAAACTTGGTCTGCCAAGATTTATTCCACCATTACTCTGATTCACCACCCAGTTAAGGCAATTAAGGCATTATGCCTACTCTTTCAACTGGACAAATAAATACATATTATTATTCCAGTTATTTTTTATTGGTAAAATGTTTTAACCACAATAAAATATGATAAAATTATAATAAGCACTAACTTTATTCTTTAAATAAAAACATAAAATTTCAACAGTGACTCTTACCCAAATCCATGGGAAAAAAATTGTGATGATACCTCTTCATATTTTTAAACCTATAAGGATTTGACATTGCATTGTATAGACATTTATTTCCCAACTCAGAGGTAATTTCAGCAGAACAAAAGATCACAAAGAACTTTTTTTTTGCTGCTGTTTCTTCTTTTGCTTTTATTTAGGTTTTCAGTGTCACTGTGAAGACTAAAAGAGATAATTCTCACTACCTCATTATACAGATAACAAGTAGAGTCCTGGGAAGTCACTGACTGTTGACTTCTCAAACTTACCACATTTAGGTAGTAACAGTACCAAATCCTGCTTTCAGTTCAGCTGTGTACCCAGTCCCCACCCCCCCACCCCCTGGCAGCTGCATCTCTTTTCCCTTGAATGAAGACTGTTCCCCAAGATCAAATAAGATAACCTGTCATTATACTTTTGTTCCAGGTGTGCAGCTTAGAGGCCTGTACTTAAGTTCAGGCCTCTTTATAAAATTTAATGGTATCCTGTGGTTTTGAATTTAAGATAACTAAACTATTAAAAATACCTTAATAAGTATGTTTCTTATTTTTTATATCCAGGAAAAGAAGTTGATCAATTGCAAATAAGTGTAGATTCTCTGGATTTAAATAGTTTCAAATTGTGTAAACCACAGTAATAGAAATTACTATTTTGGTTTTGCTTTTACACAGTAGCCCTTGCTATTGTCATTTATGGTCTGATCTGATGGTGTTTTCTAACTCAAGTATTTCTTTTTCATATAGGTTACTCACTATAAACAGTACCCACCCAATACAAGCAAAGTTTATTCCTACTTTGAATGCCGTGAAAAGAAGACCGAAAACTCCAAAATAAGGAAGGTGAAATATGAAGAAACAGTATTTTATGGGTTGCAGTACATTCTTAATAAATACTTAAAAGGTATTATTTGTCCTAGTACATTTAAAACATTTCTTTTATATAACTCTTCGTAGTTTTTCTCCTATGTTGTTTTATTCTGTTATCTGAAGTAACTTTTTGAATAGTCTAATTTTGATATCTATTTAATTAACTACTTTATAGGAGTTCTTCTGGAATGTTTTGTAAATCTTATTTTGAATACATTCATTCTTACAATTTTGTTAAGGTGCTTAGTGTTCATAATATGAGAAAGATTTTCTGAAACTAAGTGTGGGAATAAGTTTAGAAAAGTAACTGATTTTCCAAGGCTAATCTCATTTGTTAGTAGACTTTAGTCATTTTTTCAAAATAAAGGATTTGTTATTGACCTGGGAGTTCATTTTGAATTATAGTAGCAATTGTCATTGGAATATTTTATGCTAGTCAGTTTTACCTTAAAGGCTTAGTTTTCAAAACTACTTCTATGAACTTAATCTTAAATTATATTAAAGAAGAAAATCCTCAAAATAATTTCTTTGCCTTTTTACAAAAATTGAAAGTCCATTTCTAGTATGTTTTGTAGTGTTATTTCTAGCAGATGAAATAGTTTCCAAGGGTTTTATTTATATATTTTGGAAAATTTCATCTCTAACCTTTTTGTATAAAAATAATCTTAGAATTAAATGCAGATTAAGTTGGATTTTATGTAATAACCTTTTCCCATAATCTCGGCAACTTTAAGATTAGACTGTTCATATGTGTTACACTACTAGAAACCTACTTGGTATCAAAAATATTTTGTGAGCAAAACAGCCCAAGGTGTTTTAAGTGAGTTTACTAATGATCTTATATTGAGAAAGTTACCAAAGACTATGCCGCACTTCATTTCTGCAACTCAAATACCTCATAAGATATTAGTTATTAATTATAGCTAAACATATTGATTGCCTGTTATAGGCCAGCATTATTCTAAATGCTTCATATGTTGTAACTCATTTAGTCCTCACAACCACTCATAAATAGGTACTCTCCTGTTTTATCCTCATTTTACACATAAAGAAAATTACCTACAATTATATTTGAGGGGCAAAAATATAATAACTGTGAAGATTGTTGTATTGTCAGCCCTGAAGATATCTTTTATGAATAAAGTAAGAGGTTTCACTTGGAAAATCATCTGTATCAAAGGCTTACTCTCTCAGATTTGAAGGGTGTAGAAATTAGTAGAGACAGGAAAGATACCTTCTTAGAAGTTAATTTATTGTGAGTTTTAAAAAAATACTATCCATGTTATAATTTCTTCTGCACAATTACTGTTCAAATAAGAAATTAACATACTTAGACTGAGTTATTACAAGTCCAAAATCATTTTCTGGCTTTGTTGTTGACTGTGGGTGAGTTATTTAACCTCTCAGATCTTCTTTTTTATCCATAGAATGGGTGTAATATCTAGAGACATTAATCCTGTGGCAAATCAGCAGTTCACAGAATGCCTTTCGAAATGTAAACAGAAGGTGTTTATGCTTTTAGGTAAAGTAGTGACCAAAGAGAAGATCCAGGAAGCCAAAGAGGTGTACAAAGAGCATTTTCAAGATGATGTCTTTAATGAAAAGGGATGGAACTACATTCTTGAGGTAAAAACTAGTTTCATGTTTTGGTTTTGCTTTTACTTCAAAATTTCTTGCAAAGGAATTTGAATAGAAGAATAAGACTGTAATTGCAACTCTTTTCCATCTCTGACCCTAAGTATGATGGCTATTTTAGACATTCTTGTGATGAAAAGTTAAGGGTAACATTTAAATATTTTTTTCTGGTGGCATATTATTAATGTCTAGAATCTACAGCAGATCAAATTTGTTGTACATAAATGAATTACAAATTAATTAACTAATATTTCTTTTTAAGAGAGGTGATTTAACCCTTTCTTTGAAAATATACTATAATTAAGAAAGGGGATGGTTATTTGGCAATTTCAGAATTTAAGTGTGTTTTCTTAACTATAGGTTATCTAAGAAAATAGATGCTCTGATTCTATCACTACACAGTAATTCCAGGAGATTTTCCTTACTGAGTAGTTAGAATGATTTGGTGCAGATCCATGAAGTTGATTTTTATTCTCTATTGTACTATAACATTCATATCTAGTGTGTTTAGAACCATTGCTTACATTTCGGGTATCCAAACACATCAGAATTAAGTTACAAGAGTTGAATGTCCTCTGGTGGTTTTCTTTGTTACAAAAATAGATTGGGAGTGGGACCTATTGGCCTCTTGTCATCTTAAGTATTTGTTAATTAATTTACACTTCTAAAAAATTATCTTTTCCATTGTAAAGTATTAAACATAAAGTAATTAAAAATGGTCATGCCTATCCGGTAATAATGAGTTTTACCTTTTGGTACTTATGGGTCTTTGAAGAAGTCCAGTAAGCATTCTGTAACTGTAGTTTCCCCATATCTGAAGTAAAATCTGTTGGTTAACTCCTGTACTTAATCCATTTGGGTTTTTGTGTGGATAATAGTAGTAGATAAGTTAGGTGCTATGCTTACTGATATAATTTCCAGTGGCCAGGTGATAAATCCCTTGATTTTATGTTGAGAGAATCTTAGTGATTCACAAGTTTTCTAGAGATAATCTTGTCTAACCTTGTTTTACAAGTAGAATAAATGACTTGCCAAAGGTCTCCTACCTGCTTTTGAGTTCAAGCCAGGACTTCTAAGCCGGTATTCTTTCTGCTTTCTCATGAGATCTTCAGTGCTTCTTATTAAATGGATTTTTCTTGTATCTAGTTGCCTTGTCTCAAATCACATAAACTATTAAGAATTCTGAAACAACTTGCCTTCCTAGCCAAAAGTTAGCCACAACTTTTAGCTTTAAAAGTAGGGAGGCATAGTTAAATATCTAGTAACATACCATGTAGTAAATGTATTCTCAGCGTAATTTTGGAGAGAATTAATTGTATTTTTGATATCAGTTGCCAGAGCTCTGGGAAGTATACTATCAAAATAGTTTCAGGTCTACACCAAGAGTAAAAAGGAAACCTATTTAAGATTCTTCTACTGGCAGAGATATCTTCTCTTTCTCTCTCTCTCTCACTCACTCACTCACTCTCTCATTTGTTTCTTTGTTTTATCTTTCCATCTTTAGCCTTATATGAAAATGGCTTAAGAAGAAACATACTGTTTTTGGAATATGTTGGAATAAACTATTTTTTAAAGAGTTGGGGAAGAACAACGTTTTATAATCAGTTTGAAATTATCTGTATTTTCTAATAATAAATGTTCATAGCCAAAGCACTTTGACAGCATGAAATTTAAAAATCAGTATCATTGCTTAAGCTGTTTTAGCTAATTTTATTTCAGGAGGATGAGGATATTCTGACTGTATTACTAACATTACAATAACATCCACAATTGTCATTTCTATCGCAGTAAGTTTAGCCTTTGTAAAATATAAAGAGTATTATAAAAACAGGGTAATTGAATATATCTGTTGAATGAAATAAATTCATTATTGTCTCTTACCAGAAATATGATGGGCATCTTCCAATAGAAGTAAAAGCTGTTCCTGAGGGCGCTGTCATTCCCAGAGGAAATGTTCTGTTCACAGTGGAAAACACAGATCCAGAGTGTTATTGGCTTACAAATTGGATTGAGGTGAATTGTTTTGTTTTTATTTTTTTATTTAACATTAATTGAAGTTGTAAAAACCATTCAACTGGGATTCTAGTTTTAAAAATGCTACTAATAAAGCGGTATTATCTTCCACAATTTAATAAACCTTTCCAATCCTCAATTTCCTCATCTATAAAATGACAGTTGGATGAAGAAAATTTTAAGGTTCCATCCAGTGAAATCTAATGTTCTGAGATTTTATCTAAATCAAAATATTAAGAATTATTATAGTTAAAACTCAGTTGGCTTCCATCTTATTTGTACTCTTAAATGTATATTATCATGGAGAAAAATTAGAAAAACAGCACAGGTACATTTTTACTAACTTGAGATGACTTTTGGATATTCTATTCCTGTTAGACTAAAGGAATTCTGTTCAAATTTTTAGTAATTGCTCTCTTTATTCTTATCTAATGAATTAGGGCCTAGGCTCTGCTTCCTGATATTTCTCATCTAAATACATTTTAAGATTGACTGGTTATTTTGTTTAATTTCTAAGGATAAAAGGAGGTTATATTATATAAGTTTATAAGACTTTTTGTTTTTCCTTGCATCTACACATAGGCAGTCATGTTTTTTCACATGCTTATAGTTTTGGTATTAAATATCTTCTTAGCTTCTCAACATCTTAATTCACACTTGGTCTTAGCCAAAAGGCCAAGAAGCAATACCAGCTTAACTTATATTTTCTCTATAAAAGAAAATATTGTGGAAGGTGACCCCATTTCTCTTTGAGAGATATTTATTTAGTACATAGAACTGACTCTTATTAGTTTATTGTTTACACTAATTTGTTGTTATATTGTAAAATAATACATTTGAGGTTTATAAAACTGGAAAAGATAAAAAGTAAGTGGTCCAAAAATATGTTTGAAATTCAGTTTTTGCTAAGTTGACAAGAAATTTAAAACTTTCATATCAGATTCTTAGTGGGCCATCAACTAATAATAGGCTAATGGGCTCAGAAAAAATTTACAATTAACTAAAATACAGATTTAGAATAGTTCCACTGTCTTAGAACTTTGAATTATATACTCAAAGTAAAAGAAACTGTGTCTTATTATTAGTTTTTGTCTAATTGTTACAGTATTTGTGGTGGCAAGAATTTGATTTTAAGGGGATGGTATTATAAAAACATTCCCTTATAGTTGTTTCTGATCCATCCATGTTTATAAAACAGTGTGTTTACGTTCAATACCAGGTCTCTAAAAGAGGCTTTGTGAGAGGTTAAAGGAGATTCATCCTATTCTTACTCATCCCCAACCCAAGTTTACCACCTTAAAATATGAAATCTGTTACCAATTCAATAAGCTTATTGTTTACAAACTTGAAGATTTTTTTTAGGCAATTCTTGATTTAAAATATTTTAAATAATACTAAATAGTGCTCATTCCAATTCTCTCCCATTTTATGTTCGAAGTTATTAATACCATTCTTTAATTGTCATTAACCATATACTGTTATTCACCATATATGACCATGACCTTTAAAACCCACTAAAATTATTGAATTGCTTTATCAATTTTATTATTAGTGCTAGAAGAAATTTTAGTCTGCACATTGAATCTCAAAATATTTTTAAGAGAGCCTAAGGGTTCTGTAGTAGTGTCTCAGACTTACAAGGAGCTAAGGATCGAGCATATGAGGCTAAACTTACCCATGTCTTCCAACCAGAAAACAAAACCTCACACTGTTAAAAAGAAAAGATAACTTTAAAAGCCATTACATTCAAATGCCCTCATTTTACAAATGGAGAAAGTGAGCCCTGAGTGAATGGACTGTAGTTAACAGAGTAGACCTAGTCCCCTTTCTGCTATACCACACCATTTATTCTTTAACATTCTTCATCCTGCACAGTACATTATAATAAACACATCTTGAATGAATTTTGCAGTTTATTTACTTTAGTCTTAGTTTTTAGCTAAAAATTTAATCTTGATTTGCGTGGGCAAATTGCTATTTTGGAAAAGTTTCCAACAAGGCGGCCTACTTTTATCAGACCTTGGATTAACCCAGACTAACTTGCCTTTTTTTTTTTCCCTTGCTTACACCTACAGTGATCTTTTTTAAAGGGGACTGATTTTATTAAGAGTATAATTTAAGCTGATTTTGTTGGACTATGAAAAGGAAATGGTGATGTGAAGGATCACTGTGTCTGATAGTTATTTCCTTCCTTCCCTGGCATTTTTCGAGGGGTAAGGTCAATCTTCTACCTTTATAACTCAACTAGAGTTGTTCACGTTATGTTTTATCTTTTTCATACTCCTAGATAATATCAGTCTAAGTTAAATTAAAGTGTGAGTTCATTGAATTAAATTCAACAAGTGAACACTGAGTACTAGCTATGTACAAAAAGTGGTGGACACAGAAATTAGGGCAGAGGAGCAATTCATTCTTAACTAACCACTAACATAAGTAAGAATGATAAATTGGTAGCAGAAAAATAGGTAATTCTAAGGAATCTGAATTGGAAAACATATTAGTCTGTTGCATTTTTTTCCATATAATAAAAGACACATTTTTCATTTTCACCAATAACTTTATTGATTTGGATTTTTTGAGTATGTCAGCTAATTCCCACTGTTGGCTTCTAACGTGTAGAGGCCAAGGGTGCTGCTAAACATCTTCCAATGCATAGGTCAGCTCCACAGTAAAGAATTATTTGACCAGTATGTCAATCAGTAGTACCAAGAAGCTGTGCAAACCACTTTTGACATGTTTGATTGATCACAGCACCTTCTGCATACACTACACACCTTTCTTGAAATAATAAAGTATAATACACTGACAGTATTGCATATTTTCTTTCATTTTCAATATTAAAAATGCCTATACAAAAGTTCACCCATTTTGATAAGATATTTTTTAATGCTGATATGATAGCTTTCAAAAGACAATCTAACAAAATTGTTTTTGAATGAAGTTAAAGACAACTTAAGCACAACTACAGCCAGCATATGGGAAAAAAAAACAAATGAACTTTTTGGCCAATCTAATAAATAAATTTTAATAAAGAGGAATAGCTGAGCAATATTCTTAGAATATTTTTAAAAACTATTTTTAGAATAGCAAATAGCCCAAAGGGGAACTGCAGCATTAAAGTGGGAAATATAGTAGGAAATCAACCTTTAGATGGTTAAATAAGACAAGACTATAGGAAGCCTCAAATTTCTATATGAATTGGCTTTTTTCCCCTATGGATGATAGTCATTAAAGGACTTTAAGGAATAGCGGGACCTGAATAAAACATTCTCTTTAGGATGATCATCAGTGGTACGAAGAGGAAGTCAGAAAAGCCAAAGATTAGGGATGGGTAATCATGGGTACTGGCAGTGGAATCAGGAAAGTAATTTCAGAAACAGAGTGGTTAGAGATTGAAGGTAATTGGTTATATAGTAGTGGCTCTAGTTTTCTGTTGTTATTTAACAAATGATCCCCAAATAAAATAGCTGTTATTTCTCATGATTTTGTGTTGACTAGATGCTTCTCTGCTGCTCTTGCTTGGACTTTCCTGTCTGCATGCAGCTGAGGGTCCAGCTAGGACAGGGTAGTCTAGAATGGCTTCCCTCCATGTCTGGGGCCTCTCCGAGACAGCAGGAACTGTTGGGCGTCTCTCAGTAACTTAGCCCCTTCACAGCATTGTAGTCTCCAGGATCCAGGAGACTGAGACCTGCAAAACCTCTTGAAACAATAGCTTTGAAAGTCATACAGTATGACTTCTGCCACATTCTTTTGGTTAAAAGCAAATCATAAGTACAGCCCAGAATCAAGGGATGAAGAAACAGATTCCATCTCTTAATGAGAAGAGCTGCAAAGATTTGGGGCCATATTTAATCAGTCATCATAGGAGTCTAATGCTACAGTTTGTTTTTTCTTTTTAGGTGACCCGAGTTGGAAAATCCAAGGTTAAATAATCTTTTGTTTTCACTTATTTTATTTATTGATCACTTAACTGGTATTCAGTAAAAGCTAGTTTTGTAAAACCTAATTCGTACATTAAATAGATTATTGAATGCACTCAAATGTTGTTATCTTAGGTCTTTCTGAAATAAATTTGAGATCGCTTCTAATAATATAGACTGTGTGGTTTATAAAATAAAGATAGAAAATCATGGTCCTATTTTGGAGAAGGTATGAATTCCCAAGCCATAATAATTAACGTATTTGCCATAATTAAATATCAGACTTACTTTGGGTTTCCTGACAGCAAAGGTAAAATAGAAAACCAAGGTGCAGTTCTTATCAGAAAGTAGGAACCTAGTGATTCTTTCATGTCCTCATTTGAGAACTCACATAATAGGTACTAAGTATCATGTAGACAGTGAGTGGCCTTGCAATTTTGCAACATATGCAGAAATGTTTTATGCACCCTTCTTATAGTGACTTTTGAGGAAAAACTATGGACATAAAGCATAACTCAGTGAGTAGAATTCTCTAGTGCTAAGCAAAAGCATTCAAGTATATAACCTACCAATAGTCATATTAGATCCAAGGAAAAATTAGATCCAAGTCTTCTGGAGGAGTAAATGGATAACTTTAGACCCATACTATACTGTTCAAGGTGTAGTCCATGGACCAGTGCTGGTTCATGAACAATTTGATGCAGCTTCAAATTAAACACAGAAATTAAGAATAAGCATTTAGAAATTTTTATGGTAGTTGCTTCACCATCCAAGTGTGTATGTATTTTAAAAAACTGTTAGTCCATGACAGATTGAAAATACTGTCAAAAGTTAGTCCTGCATCACAGATAGTCTTTCTAACTATTATTTGCTGCTTTGGAGATTTGGATAGAAATGTGATGTTCTCAACTCTTATTAAGGGCCTGATGTTCTCTCCCTTCATGTTGCTGATTTGAGAGCCAAGCTATGCACTGTATCTGGGATGCTTGTGATGGCTTCCTGTTGTACAGTTGAAATGTCTAAATGGTATTTCTAGTAGTATGGAAGTTCAGAACATACCTCCAGAGAAAGCTAGGATTTTCCTCAGAAAGAACCTAGTATTTTAAGTATTAATATTTGTGGTTAATTTTATTACTACAGACCATTCTTGTTCAGTCCTGGTATCCAATCACTGTGGCCACAAATTCTAGAGAGCAGAAGAAAATACTGGCCAAATATTTGTTAGAAACATCTGGTAACTTAGATGGTCTGGAATACAAGTTGCATGATTTTGGCTACAGAGGAGTCTCTTCCCAAGAGGTAAGAAACTGAAGTAAACCTCATTGAATAAAATGTAGATTGTCAGAAGACTACCATTATAACCTTTCTGGGATGTTATGGGATTGATGTTGGTCCACATAGAACACATTTTGAAATTCCAGAAATTTAGTGAACAGATAAAGTATGTACTGTGTGTTAGCCTCTGTTTAAAGTTCATGGACTATAGCCTTCAACAAATGTTTCCATCCTTTATATATCAGATGAGTGGGTAAATGGACTGACAGACATATAATATGGCAGATATCAGATAATGCTACAGAGAAGCATTAGGCAGAGTAAGGGAAAAGAGGGTGATGGGAAATGGCGGTAGGTCACTGTTAAACCGTTCTCTTTGAGGAGGTGACAGTTGAATTCTTAAATACTTAAGAAAATTTGGATCTTTGTCATAGGAACTGTTTTCTCTGATAATAGTTAAATATCTCTCTAAGAATAGCAGAAGACAGCAATTCTTTGGGAGTTGTATGGTCTATACCCAAGTATGGGTCTTTCTTTTTTCTTCTTTTGGATTTTGGTTTTGGGTTTATTTTCCAGACTGCTGGCATAGGGGCGTCTGCTCATTTGGTTAACTTCAAAGGAACAGATACAGTAGCAGGAATTGCTCTAATTAAAAAATACTATGGAACAAAAGATCCTGTTCCAGGCTATTCTGTTCCCGCAGCAGAACACAGGTAAAATTCTGTTTTCATTCTCTTGCCATATAAATATTTGTTTTCTATGATTACTAAGTTTTTTCCTTCATTTATTTGTAATTCATTTATAATTTTGCTTAACTACAGAGCTGGGTTCTCCAGTAATTCTTCATGACCTTAAGCAATACAAATTTATTACTTATACTTTGTATAAAGATTAGTATCAGGGAGGTAGAGAACTTGTAACCATCCTAATGGAAACAGTTTAGGAGTGTTTTTTTCAACTGGTATATTTATTTCCCTTATAGGTTTTTCTTTAAAGGACTTTTCCTGCTGCTCTATGGCAATGTGCAGATAAATTTTATCTGTTAAATTAAGTCTAGAACCACTCAAACCTGATTGCTTTTTTTCCTTTCCCTCCTCTTCTACATGACCTCACCTGTCTTTTTCTTGGGAATTGTCATCTGGAGTTAGTACCCTCAACTGTAGATGAGCAAGTAAGCCCTTTCAATGAAATGAAGAAAGTTCAGATTCTTCTTTTGCTTCCTTATCTAATATCACTAAATTATCTCAAATTGAACTAGAAGGCAGTTGTAATCTAAGCAGCAGCTGGTCTGATCCTAGAGTTAACTTGTTTTGAAAAGATGTGCTGGGGTGGGGGTGGGGAGTGGAAGAGGGTGTAGTGGAAATAAGTGGTAATAGAAAAAGTTTTTAAACAATCAGGTCAAACCTTGTTTCTGGTTCTTTTAACAAAATTTATTTACTGTCTGGGGAGATTTAGTAAGTCCTACTTACACTATTGCAGGGTGTCAAAACCAGTAGTGAGCTTAGAATAAAGCTTGAGCTTTTTATAAAAAGTAATTTATATTCATTAAGCTCTTGCTTTATATTACAAAAGCTAAGCATTTATTCAAGTTAATCTACTGAGCACTACAAAGGATAGGTAGAAATTTGACTGTCTTTAGGATAAAATAGTACAGTAGTGACATTCTTCTCTGTTGATTAAGTACTTTTACGGGGGTACAATTAAAGTACTGTAGTGGTGCAAGGGAAGAAAGGATTGTATTCCAGTGACAGAATCAAGAAAGGTTTTATGGAGGTAGGATGTGAAATCGACTTATTGAAGGAATGGTAAAATGTAATGGCAGTCACAGTGATCATGCGTTCTCTAAATGAATATTTACTGCATGCCTACCATGTGTCAGGCATTGTCCTGAGAGAGCCAGAAAAAAGGGGAGACTAAATGTGTTTAGGGAATCAGGGATAACACACAGAGACTGTAGGGAACATAAGGTAAACTGGGAAGATAGATTAGTGAAGGCTCTCAAATTTATGCTAGGTTATCCTAATTCCATTTTCAAATGGAAGTGAGCATTGAAATGTTTGAGCAAAGAAGTGATGTCAAAGAAATATTTTAGGAACATTATTTTGATAGCAGGGTTTCTGCTGAATTAGAAAAGAGAAATAAGAAGGTAGGAGGCTTTCTAGGAAGCTATTGCAACAGTTATGAGAGGTGACAAGGTTCAAAACCAACTGGCCAAAATGAATGGAAAGAAGCAGATAAACATGAGCAATGGCTTTGGGGATGAAGTTGCTAGAACTTGATTTTGAATTGAGACTCAGTAGAGAGTAGATTCAGCTAACATTTATGAGGATTACCATATTAGGGCCTTCTTGAATGCCACATTTAAGACTAGTAAAACTGGAAAAATTTATTAACACAATGGTTTTAGTGTTAGCAGTATTTTTATTTCAGACTTAGATGTGTATATATTTTTTACAACTTAATGTAGTATCCATGTATTATACACTTGACTAATGTTTTGTTTCATAGTAATAACATCATATGTACAGTACTATAAATATGAGAATAAAAAGACTGTCATTTTTAGGGCTTTAATGTTAAAATGGTGAAAATCCATTTTACTTGTACAACCGTATAATATTTACTGCATTTATAAGTGTTCAACTCCTTAATATAGATTAAGAATATTTCAAATGTCCTTAAATATAAAAGTCTTTTAAGCAACAGTATAGTGAATAGAACTTCACAGCTGACATACGGGTGGCCTTGGGCAAATCACTTATCTCTCTGTTCTTCGGTTCCTCCACCCAGCCAAACAAATGGAGGAGCAAAAATTTTACACCTTTAATATCAGCCTGGCATAAATGAGAATAAATGAGCTGACATCTAAAATAACTTTAAAAATAAGAAAACTCCAAAATTTACAGCACTGCCATTGCTAGATATTTTCTTAAGGAATATATTCATCTGGGTTTAGAAATATTGAATTACATAACTTTTCCCTCAAATTTGGGAAAGGTATCTAATTATGTACTGCAAATTGGAATATTAGCATATTTAGAGTTAATTGAATAAATATTTATGATCTTCATATACCAAATACTATATTAGAAGAATAGGTATAACATTTGGATTATGTACAGGGTGCTTTGGGAGGTGACTGGGATAATGAGATGAAGATACTCATCTTCCTAACAAAGTACAGCTGGAGTACAGAAGGAAAATCTGTGCTAGGGTGCACGTTTTGGAAACACTCATCACACAGTATTTTTAAAAGCTTATAGTGTTTTTCCATTCACGGAGGTGTATAAAGGGAGACAAATGCCCAGATCAGAGCCTTTGGTCAGACCGAAGGAAGGAGAGAGAGCATAGCATCTGTTGAAGACTGAAAGGGAGCTGTAGATGTCGAAAAAAATCAAAACACAGGAGGTGTCATTGAAGTCATGGGAGAGAAAGCTTCAGGAAAGTTCAAATGCCACAGAGAAAGCATAAAGGCTGAAAATGAACAGTTACATTTGCTAGACATGATAAACACAAATAGCCAAGTTAGATGACTATTGATACAATGCTAGTAAAACATAACTGCATAAGCAATGACCTCTTAACTGTAGGATTTTTTTCTACAGTTCGAAAGCTCTGCAGTATTGCAAGTCTTCGCTCTTAATTGTGTCCCTGATAAAGAGAGCAGTAGCAATTTCGTTTTTTTCATCCTCACATTAGGATATATTTTTTACTGATTTTAGAGAGAAACACACACATCACTGTGAGAGAGAAACATCGATTGGTTGCCTCCTGTATTCCCCCCAACCAGGGATGGAACCCACAACCTTTTGATGTACTGGATGACACTCTGACCAACTGAGCCACCTGGCCAGGGCGACAGTAGCAATTCTTGATACAAAGAAAGGGCTTCTCTTCATCATGTCTCAATTTTCCCTTACTCTGCAGATGTTTGCATCATGCCTCTGATGCCAACATAGTTACTGGCAGCCTCTAGTTGTTTAGAAGAGTGTTCACTATATAAATAGGCCATTTCTCCATTTCAGACAAGAGTAGTGTCTCTGGGTAAATAAACCTGAGTGGTACATGCTCAGCTCTCCACAGCATACCACTGGCAGCACAGAAAATATTGTTTACTCCTGTCCTTCAGGAGAAAAGTAGAAATAAAATAACAATTTCAAACATAAATTAGTATGACTCATCAAACCGTTTGAGATAAATTTATACCTGTGTAGTGTTCTACAATAAATGAATGGGTTGTCTTTTCATTGTTTTACTTAAGAAAATGGGGTAAAGGCAAAGACTAGAAAATTAGGGAACAAATAAAAATTACTTGGCATGAAGAAATGGTAATTTTCAAATTCGTCATTTTGTTTAAGAGTTTGAAAGATTGTATAGAGGGTTGAGCAAAAGTAGGTTGACAGTTGTGAGAATGTAAAATACTTTATTCTTTTATTATTTATTACTATATTAATTAGTATTAACTTGTTTTTGCCTACTTCTGTATTAGAGATTCACAAGTACTTGTTACCTATTATTAATCTTTTCAATAAGAAGAACCATTATTGAAGACATTATAAAAATCACTATAACCATTCTTGCTTCATAGAAACTCTCACACTTTATTTCTCATCTAAATTATGTTTTGTACAAACTAAATATTAACATTTTTACTCCATGGGCATATATTAATAGTAGATAATCTATAAATGAAATAAATGACTTACCATTAAAAGATATAATAGGTAAAGATTTAGTTGACTATATGGATCTGTGTATAGATTAAGTAGTTGCCTTTAAGTTTTAGATTTTGAAAGATAAAGATCAAATACATGTCTGCTACTATTGGTATATGGTTTTGAAAATTCACAGGAGGGAGCTAAGTGCTTTACATTGCCTAGCAAATAATGGGAGCATGTGTTCATTCTTTCTAACATCTGGGCATAATGAATTGAGTGCATTCAGTAAGTGCTTTTTAGTTCACTGAGTTCCAATGAGTAGGTTCAGGAGTAACCCCCAAAAAGTTGAATATGACTTAAAAGCTAAACTAACTATTGGAGAGGAAAAATATTACTTTTAGTCTTTTAAAAAATTATTCAAGGGGTGGTTTAGTCCAACTATTTATCTAGCCTGCTAAACATAAGATATGGTTCAGGAACAGTAATGTGTCTGCCTAAGTAAATCTGTATTTTCATTTTGTTTTCTAGTACCATAACAGCTTGGGGGAAAGACCATGAAAAAGATGCTTTTGAACATATAGTAACACAGTTTTCGTCAGTGCCTGTATCTGTGGTCAGCGATAGCTATGATATTTATAATGCGTGTGAGAAAATATGGGGTGAAGATCTAAGACATTTAATAGTATCAAGAAGTACAGAAGCACCACTAATAATCAGACCTGACTCTGGAAATCCTCTTGACACTGTATTAAAGGTAAATTTTAATACATAACTTGATTATTAAAATGCTTATCAACCAGCTTGCATCAACACTACTTTTGATTTTATTTATACATATATCATTTCAGAGCTATCTGGACCTTATTTTAGAGTTGCAGCCAGGAGAAGGTAATAGATTTGCCCAAGGTCACACATTAATAACAAAAGGGTACCCAGACTTATGGGTTACTTACATAAACTGTCAAAGAGACAGTTAAGTATTACTGATACTTTCTACTTACTTTCAATATTAATAGCATTACCATTTTAAGGAATCCTGTGATTTACTTATACCAAGTTTATAGCTTGTTTATTTTTCCTGTATCACAAGTCATTGCTATACTTTTGAAATTCTTAGTGCAAAAGAAATACATGCAAGGTGATGTGGTAAAAAATCTTTTGAAAATACTCTTCAAGTAGTGATTCTTTAAAGGTCTTCAGTTCTCAGTGTATCAGTGTTGTCTATTTTTAGTGTTCAGGACTTGGCTTGCCTTTTTTTTGAAAAGCACTAAATAAAAAAGCAGGTTATTTGATCTTCACTACTAGAAAAATATTGCATTAGGTGCTTTACTTAAGCTGTCATCTACTCTGTATGATAAGTGTTACATTCTCTTTTTATAGACCAAGAAGCAGACTTAGATAAAGAGGTTAAAGTAACTTGCTCAAGGTCACACAACATGTAAAATAGCCAAGTATCCATTGTCACCTTCTCATTTTACCACAGTTTCCCAGCTAATGATTAGATGATAAATTACCACTTAAAAGAGGGCGGATATAGAACCAAGGAAGTCTTTTCTTATCCTGTTAAGTAATAGGCCAATCTTAAAGTCTTTTTTTAAAAGATTTTATTTATTTTTAGACAGAGGAGAAATGAGAGAGAGGTAGAGAAACAGCCACGCGTGGTTGCCTTTCATACTGCCCCCAATTGGGGACCTGGCTGGCAACCCAGGCATGTGCCCTGACTGGGAATCAAACCGGCGACCTCTTGTGTCACAGGCCAGCACTCAAACCACTGAGCCATACCAGCCAGAGCCTTAAAGTCTTATCTTAGCCTCAAATGTTAACAGATTTAGTTCTAGCAAATTTAACAGGTTTCATGTTTTTCCTGTTACCTAATAAAAAAATATGTAGACTTAGTTTTAAGAATAATAAAGTCATCAATAGGGAATTTCCTCATTGTTAGAATCATCAGTCTATTTAGGAAAAGGGAGTGTTGTTGAGGAGGAAAATTGTTCAATAAGTCTTTTGAATATGACTAAGCTTTTTGAGAAATTTTAAATCAATGTTTAGGTATATCAGCTGCTACACAACTTTTTAGTAGTTAATGAATGAGTGGTATGATTTGCATATTACACAGTTTAGTTTAAAAATTGTGTGTCATCTTTAATTGAGGAGAACTTCAGAGAAATTGGGTTAGATATGCTTCATTTCCAACTTTGTCTTGCAAATCATAGTTCTCTGAATTTTGTAATTCAAATGGATTTATATTTGTTTTATCAAAATTAAACCAAACAGAACTATTAGGGACAAAAAGAATAAATCCAGATCAAAAGTATAATCATGAGTTTGTTAAGTAGTGCTTTCTATACTTTTTAAAACTGTTATATTTACTGTCTTAAGCTCCTAATGTTAAAGGTTTTTTTTAATGAATATGTAATTTAAAAGATGTAGAGGGAAAAATGCTGTTTTGAGACACTTCACTGTTAAAATGACTTGATAGAAAATACAATGCCTGTTTCTAACATAATGAGAAGGAATTGAGACTAAATTTTGAAAGATTTATATATACGGTAAAATTTTTTAAGTAAATTGATTATTTTTTATATTCTCAAGATTGTCTAGCAAAGCAAAGTCTCTTTTTTAACTTTGAAAAGCTTTTACACTTTCTTTTTTCATTTTTAGTTATTTTGTATTGGGTGTGTATTTTTCTGTACAGGTTTTGGATATTTTGGGTAAGAAGTTCCCTGTTACTGAGAACTCAAAGGGCTATAAGCTGCTACCACCTTATCTTCGAGTTATTCAAGGGGATGGAGTAGATATTAATACTCTACAAGAGGTATGTGTTTATATTAAGTGTTCCAATAAAATAATCATAATCTCCTTTTTTGTTTGATAAACAACACATTTATAATTTCAGCACAATTGTGATTCTTTTCATAAGTGTTATAATGGTGTGTGCCTTTTCTGTTAACTGCTTAGATTTTGTAAAGAACAGTAACTTAAAGTATAGACGTACCAACCAAACCACATTTGCTATTCTCAGTTCTCACTGGCCATCCTAGATGACAAGCCTAATGAAGTATCACTAAGACAATGCCAGTCAAGGAATGTTCCTTGTATATAAAACAAAAAGTCTTTCTTTTTTAAGATTTTATTTATTTATTTTTAGAAAGAGCAGAAGAGTGGGAGAGAAACATCAGTGTGTGGTTGCCTCTCATGCACCCCCACCGAGGACCTGGCCTACCACCCAGGCATGTGCTCTGACTGGGAATTGAACCAGTGACCCTTTGGTTCATAGGCTAGCACTCAGACTGCTGAGCCACACCAGCCAGGGCTAAAACAAGAAATCTTGGTGTTGCTCATACAGGTTCAGTTTTAATGGAGTGGAGCTTCACATATGCTAACCATGTGAAACTCACATGTATTCATATGTGTGTATTCAAAATTATAAAATGATTGGTCAGCTCTTCTAAATTAAGCCTAGACTGTCATCACTATTATTGTTAGATTTAGTCAAATAGTGTATTATGTTAAAACTTTTGCCTCTTTTGTTCTCAAATAAGCTTCTGAAGAGCTATAACTTCATAAAATATACTCCATAAAAGTTATGGGTATCACTGATTTCATAATGTGGACTCTGCCATTATAAACCATTGACATTTTAATATATACCAGTCCCGGGTGGTATCCACTTGTATAATACAAGTTACCAAAGATTTTTCTGTTTGACAGAGTCTAGTGTGATTAAAGATCAGTACTCAAATTTTAAATAGCTTGTTTTCCAAAGAGTCATTTAAAAGTAAGAATTACTGAATGTAAGAAATAGGATTTCTGTAGTGATGTGGATTTAGAGTTCCAAAATGAGGTTTCTTCTACTAACTCTCTGTAACTGTGGAAACTCCCCAAATTCCTGTAAGACATTTGGGTTGGAACATTTGGGGCTTTCCTGTGAAAGGGAGTGAGGAGAAGGAAGACCTGATTTTAGAGATCTCAGCTGGCATATGTCATTGCTGTTGACTTTTTAGCTCAGCTGAATCAAAGGTTTCTTATCTTGTAAGAACCGTTACTCATTTCTACACTTTAGGCAGTTTAGTAGGTACCCTCTTGATCCTTCTTTCAGATGAAGAAACATGGGCAGGGTACTGCACCATTTTCAGGAAAACCATTAGCTCCATGCCCTCCCCACTACTATCTGCCCTCCTTTGTTCCAGTGGTGAACTCTAAGTTGGAACGTTCAATCAGGTATTTGACCTTCCCTTTAAACACTGAAACTCTCGGCTTTCTTTTTCTTTCTTTCTTTTTTTTTTAAACCATGAATGAGAAGTCAGATACTGAGACAGGTACACAAATAGTCTTTGGCATTGGTGAAACCTTAAACAGAATGATCAAAGAATGAATAATTTGTATAATGCAAATATACTCATGTTGATTTACCGAAAGAATGAAACCTGCTTTCTTCATATTGGAAGTGGATCAAAATAAGATTTTAGAAGCAGAAGGAAGAATTTATGTAGTGCTTTTGCTTTTTATATATACTAAATTAGATGCCTTAATTTTGACGGAATGAAAAATCTGTTTAATTTCAGACATCTGACTTCTTTCATTGACTGTCAGTCTCACTATTTGGACTGCTTATTCCCAGTCTTCCCTGTGACATCCACATGAAATTTACAACATACGCACACCCAAGCTTGTGTGTACCAAAATCAGTCTGCTTATTTAGGAAAAGAAGCAAAAAATCTCTTTTGTGTTGGACAAAATACAGACGTCTTCTCTTTATGTTTGTGTCTTGGTTAGGGATTCAGTCATCTTGATTATCAAGGAGACCTCTGTATTGGAGTGGTTCATTAACAGTGTTAAAATGATATCAGATTCTCAAATTTTAGTGAGAAGATTTCTTTGCAAGTGATGTCCCACATATTTTAAACACTTTTCTTCCCTTTTAACAATCCTACTATTTTTTTCCCTAAGAGCCCTTTTCTCTACATTTCCAGGAAATTTCCCCTAACCCTCACAACTTTGATCCATAGATTAAATAGAAGATTTATGTAAATCTTGACAGTAGGGACACATTAATTTCTTTAATCTAAATATAATGTGCCCTGGCTGGTATAGCTCAGTGGATTGAGGGCTGGCCTGCGAACCACACGATCACGGTTCGATTCCCAGTCAGGGCACATGCCTAGGTTGCAGGCCAGTTCCCAGCAGGGGACGCACAAAAGGCAACCACACATTGATAGTTCTCTCCCTCTCTCCTTCCCTTCCTCTCTAAAGATAAATAAATAAAGTATTTAAAACAAAATTAAATTAAATAAATAAATAAATAAAATGTATTGTAAAAACAATTATAGATTGTAGTGCATGATTGAGGTATATGGATATGATAACAAAAATATTTTAAAACTTTTTATTGATTTTAGAGAGATGGAGGGAGGGAGAGAGAGAGACAGGAGAGACAGATACCAGTTTATTGTTCCACTTACTGATGTATATTCATTGGCTGTTTCTTGTATGTGCCCTGATTGGGGATCGAACCCACAATCTTGGTGTACTAGGACACTTCTCTGACAACTGAGCTATATCCAGCCAGGGCATGAGAACATTTTATTTAAATACTGATGGCATAATATGACTCTTCTCATTTTAGTTAGATACCTTGGGCATAAACAGGAAAATGAAGAGTAGAGTCTAACAGTTAAATTTTGTCCGTTTATGTCCAGTCAGATTTCCTTTTGATGGTATGTGTAAATATTTTTAAGTAATAATTTTCTCCCAAATTCTGTAATTTCCTGTACTCTTAACAGAACAGTTCACTTTAAATTTAAATGGTCTGAATTGTATAACTTTTGGTACAGCTATATTGGAAGAATATCTTTAAGAAACTGGGCCAGAAGTAGAGAGATATGACATTAGGTGATTGCTCTTCTTTGTAATTTCCTCGTTCCTGTGCTTCTGAGGCGTATCTAAAGTCATGGCACAGGTCTGACACTGACTTTCTGTTTGTTCTTATTTGTTTGTTTTAACCTCACCACCTTACCCTCCAGTTATGTTTCCCTTTCATTTCCTCCATTTTTGTTTTCTACTCTTCACATTTCTTTCATATTGAAATTTACTCTCAAAACATGTCTTATTTTGTATTGTTAATAAGGTTTTTATTGTTGTTTTAGTTATACTTTGTTCACAGTTATATCAGTGCTCCCCAAGTCTAAATCTGAATCCAGGACCTTTGAATACTTTTCAATTCAGGTTTAATAATAACGACATGAAACCAAGTTTATGTATAGCTAAGGAATGACTTTAAATTAAATTATGTATATTTTCATCTTGATTCCTCACATATAGTAGTAGAATTAGATGGAATTTAGGAAGAAACTTCCTTTTTTAATGTGGGGTTAAAATATTTTTATTGTTCATTGTTGCAGATAATAGATATATCAGATTAAGACTCTTACTATTTGAGGGGAATATAGTGAATTTATATAAAATTATTAAACCTGCTTATGGTTTTCTAATTCTGAAAATTTTGTTTCAATAAAAAGAAAGTAGACCTTCCAGTACTTCCTTTTGACTATTCTTATGAAATTAAAGGAACAGTTACTAAATTTGACTTGCAACCTTCTTTATTTTTTTTTTTTTTAGATTTTATTTATTTATTTTTAGAGCGGGGAAGGGAGGGAGAGAGGGAGAGAAACATCAATGCGTAGTTGCCTCTCTCAGCCCCTCTACTGGGGACCTGGCCCGCAACCCAGGCATGATCCCTGAGTGGGAATCAAGCTGGAGACCCTTTGGCTTACAGTTCAGTGCTCAGTCCACTGAGCCACACCAGCCAGGGCACAGCCTTCTGTCTTAAAAGTGATTCAAGATATGATACAGAAGACAGATGCTGGGTAAATAAGTCCTACTTAGGAAAAAGAAATATAAATGACAGTAATAATGTAGCTTAATAAATCTGTGTAATTAAATTATATGTCCCTTGATAAAAACTATTTTAGTTGTCAGAACTATATGTTCATACAGGTCTCTCTAGCTGGCTTATAGATAATCTTTCTGCCAAAAATGATCCAATGATAAATGTTAATGCCCAGTCTAGTCATAATTTTGTTTATGGCACTGGAGTTCTAGCCAGAGTAAAATGACTCTGCCAGTGTCTGAACTGATATGTAGGAGAGAATATTTTATATTATTTTGCCAACAATATCATATTGGTTGATGTTTTAAATGCCCCATTACATTTGACATGCATTTTGACATGCGATAGATAACATATAGTAATACAGGACAAATGTCTAGGTCTCATTGCTTGTGCTGCTGCCATCTGGGCTACAACTACAGGAGGCAGAGAAGTGTACTCAAGTAACCTTAGCTATGTACAGCCAATTTTTTTTCTCACTCTCTAATTTCGTTCATTTCCTTAATCCTAACCACAGTTAAGATGACAACACAAAATCCCTTTCAGGTTGCCCTTTTTGGGATGGGTAGATTTTTTTAAAAGAAAATGTGGGGCATAATTTTGTGTATACTTTATTATTTACTATGTTGTAAGACAACTCTAGAATGGGTTTATTCATCAGTATTGGTTATTGATGCGTATGGGCCCATATTACCTTCTTTTCCTAACAAATTACCTTCTTTTTTTCCAAATTACTTAGTGTTTTTGTTGTTGTTTTTCTCTTCCAAACAATTTAACATTTGTTTTATTTTTTTAATCTTCTAGATTGTAGAAGGCATGAAGCAAAAAAAATGGAGTATTGAAAATGTTTCTTTTGGTTCTGGTGGAGCTTTGCTACAGAAATTAACAAGAGACCTCTTGAATTGTTCCTTCAAATGTAGTTACGTTATAACCAATGGCCTTGGGGTATGTCCTTCAACCTTTACTCATATGTCAGTATCTTCTTTATGTGTCTGGGTAGAATGCAGTTATAAAGGATAAAAGGTCCTGAGCTATTAATATATTGTCAGGTATCACTCACTGTGGCTCATAAAAAAGGAAAGAAAAGAGACACTAGGTAAATAACATGGTTTAGGAGAATAAAGGAGACTGGGAAAAATGAGATGAAAGATTCAGAGACAGTGCAGGTCAGTTCTTTTCCATTGCTTCCTATAGTATATAACTTTGAATAAAAAACTGACCCTAGTTAATTAGGAACATCAGCTAACTTAGAAAGGTGGAGTGTGAGGTTGGAGTTGTGATAGCAGAATCATGTGCTCATAGCCTTAGAATAGGGGAACTCAAGCTGCTAGGCAGCTGAACAGTACTCCCCTTAGCTCTTCATACAGTCCAGTGTCCAACCCACGGCTCTTGGGCACCATGTGGCCCAGGATGGCTATGAATATGGCCCAAATTTAAATAATCAAACATTTACTTAAAACCTTTTTTTTTTTTGCTCATCAGTTTAGTGTTTGTATATTTGTATTTATTTATTTGTTTATTTAAGATTTTATGTATTTATTTTTAGAGGGGAAAGGGAAGGAGAGAGGTAGAGAAATATCAATGTATGGTTGCCTCTCATGCATCCCCCGCTGGGAACTGGCCTGCAAACCAGGCATGTTCCCTGACTGGGAATCAAACCGATATCGTCTGGTTCGAATGCCCGAGCTCAATCCACTGAGCCACACCAGCCAGGGCTTAGTGTTTGTGTATTTAATACGTGACCCAAGACAACTCTTCTTCCAGTGTGGCCCACAGACACCAGAAGGTTGGACACCCCTGCTTAAGAGTCGATGGGTCAAAGGGTGAAGGAGGGGAATCCTTGACTAAGAACACATGGTGTGATACCCTGCTTTGTTCACTTCCACCTTTCTTTGGAAATTACTGGGATTGACCCATCTGCTTCTTTCAAAGCCATCACTAGTTGCTTCTTACTATGTTTTGCTTCCTGCCTTTCTGATTGTGGAGCAGGTGGTCTGCTCTTAGGTTCTCTAGGTCTTTTTTGCTTCTGATAGTAACAAGAAATAGAATAAAAAGTAACAAAATGGAAAGGTTACGAAATTGGAAAGCCTTTACCTTAGTAAAATCCTAGTTCTGGAGCCACAGATTATAGAATTGATTGGACCAGGAATTATTTTTCTAGCATGCCTGTGCTATACTTTGATCAGTTTAAAGACGACTTGTAATGTAAAATAAGATACCTTAAGGATTACCTGTTAATCTCAGTGACTTCCTACAAAGGAGGATTTGGTATTCTGCAATGGTAAGAAAGGATAGCCAAGATTTAGATTTTGTTTTTTCCTAACAAGGGACTCACTCTGGCCTCCAAAACAGGCTAGAATTATGTTTCTAAAAGCTTGATGTGGATTCGTTTCATTATAACTATAAAATGCCTTAAAATTTATACATAAATTAAGTGTATGGCTTTTAAAAATAGAGTTAAGTGGCCATTTCTTATGATTAGTCTTCTTTTTCTCTTTCTGAATTTGGATTTCAGATTAATGTCTTCAAGGACCCAGTTGCTGATCCCAACAAAAGGTCCAAAAAGGGCCGATTATCTTTACATAGGACACCAGCAGGGAATTTTGTTACACTGGAGGAAGGAAAAGGAGACCTTGAGGAATATGGTCATGTATGTATCTATGCTGATGAAGTTTGTTTTGTTTTAACAGTAATAGCGTGGCTCTGCGAGGTAAAAAAAAGGAGGATTTTATGTTAGTATTTTAGTTTTAAATTATTTTGAGAATTTTTTTTGAAGGACACAGTTTTTTTTATAAATTATACAATAGCTGACTTAGTCTACCAAATTAGGATGAAAAACAAAAACTGGTTAGATCATAAATGTGAGACTTACTTATACATTGGGTGAAATATTTTGTAACATTTAAAAAAGAAAGTCAAAGTTTTTCCAAATAGTGACCAGCAGGGTAGTGACTAATAAGTTTCAACAAGCTGTATTTGATCTTCCTTTTTTGCCAATTAGCAGTGAATTCTTTCTGGAGAGGAATATTACAAATATTTAAAGGATGTACACTTCCCATAGCTATTTATATCATGGTAAGCTTTGGTAATTTTAATAGTTAAAAGAAAGGCTATTTAAATTCTCAAATGTTAGTTAACTTCATTTTTTCAAAACAACAGAATCCAGCCTAGATGGTTTTCTTTAGTCTGATTTGATTGTGACAGCAACTCTATGGGCTAAAAAGGCAAATTATGTAGAGGTAAAAACTATGTGATTATATAAGGAATAAAAGCTGAAACCTAGACATAACTGTTTTTGGATTCAAGTCAACCAAATTGGAAAAATTTATGGTATGCTAAAGTAGTCCATATGATCTAATGGTCTTTAATAACATATAAAAGTACATTTATATTTGTGAACTCAGAAGTTATAAAATTTCTATTTTTGAAGCCACTTGATTGAAAAAAACTACTCAGTTTTAGAGGGAAACTACTCATGAATATATTCTCAAGAGAAAATTTACATTAAATATAAATACATTAATTTATAACTTTAGATTGGTTATACCATTTCAAATATTCTACTTGTTACTTTTATTTTATTTTAAGATTTTGAACCAGAATTAATGAAATAACATTTTTGTTACCTTTAATGAAAAAAAATATTTATAAACAAATTTTAGAATTAGATCCCTTTATATAGCCTGTTTATGCAGTTCTTTGAGTAGCTTTCACTTAATTGTAGCTACCAGGACTATCCTGAATTACTTTAGGCATACTCATGACTATAAATTTTAAAAAGGCATTGATATTAAGCATATGTGAATGATATTCCAGAATATTTAAGGCAGTAGTTAATTTATAACTGTCTAAGCATTTTAACAGGTTATATTTAAGTTTATGAAAGAAAATGCTATGGCTAGAGCATTGCGATTTAAAAAAACAATGATACATAATGTTATATGTTTCACAGTATTCATACTAGATGGAAAACTTAAGCATGGTAGATTATTTATATGTTTTTCAAAAGGAAATTAGAAGTAGATAATTCTTACAGTAGTGGCTTTAACAGACCCAAAAGGGAATTTAGTCCTAATTTCTTAAATTATCTTTGCTAATGTATCTTTGCTACCCTTGTAGGGATCAATTGGATTACATGCATCAGTGACTTTTGGATATACACAAAATCTCTTTAAATCAGTCATTGTGCATTAGTTAAGAAATTGATAATTATTTTTGTTTCGTTTAGGTTTGGTTTCTTATTTTTTGGGGATTTTTTGTTTGTTTGCTTATTTTAAGTAAAAAACTGGGTAACTAACAAATTTATTAAACCCAGGCTTATGCATTTAACTGGTGTTGAGACAGTCTGTTGGCTAGGAATAAGGGAAGGTCTGGCAGGTTTTTTGGTTGCACTTTCAGTGGTGATTCTCAGCGACAGCCAGAGTTCTGGGCAGCGTGCATTCTACCTGAAAAAAAAAAAAAGAGATGGGTCATCTAGGTGTTTTGGTTTTTCCTTTAAGGAAAACTGCTCTAAGAACGTAATGTTAAGTCATTTCTGTTCATAAAAGTTAAATATTTCTACATAACCATTTTAGATAATACCTTGCTCTCTGCCTGCTCCACCAGCATTCTTTGCATATAAAACAATTTCATAACTTGAGGCATAACTCTGTGTATTTGCTCATTCATCAAGCATCGCATACAGTAAGTATTTTGCTTGATGGTCTAATCATTAAATTTTAGTGTTGTTATATTTGTGCAGGATCTTCTCCATACAGTCTTCAAGAATGGGAAGGTGACAAAAAGCTATTCATTTGATGAAGTAAGAAAAAATGCAAAGCTGAATATTGAACTGGAAGCAGCACCTCATTAGGCTTTGTTTTCTGACTGCGTGTGTGTTCTTGCCTGTATGTGCGAATGTGTGATACATAACACATTGTACAGATGTGTGAGGTTTCTTTGTTTTATGATACATTACAGCCAGATTATTTGTTGGTTTATGGACATACTGCCCTTTAATTTTTTTTCTTTCTTTCCAGTGTTTAGGTGATCTCAAATTAGGAAATGCACTTGACCATGTAAAAGATTATTGCTAAAGCAAGCTTTTTAGGGTCCTTTGCCAATAGATATTAATTTAATCTGGTATTGATCTTTTCTCAAATAACAGAACTGAGAAACTTTTATATATAACTAAAGATCACATAAACAGATTTGCATAAAATTATCATGATTGCTTTATGTTTATATTTAACTTGTATTTTTGTACAAACGATTGTGTACGATATATTTAAAGTTTCAGTGATTTAACACTTTCCAACTTTTCATGATTTTTATGAGCACAGACTTTCAAGAAAATACTTGAAAATAATTTACATTGCCTTTTGTCCATTAATCAGCAAATAAAACATGGCCTTAACAAAGTTGTTTGTGTTATGTACAATTTGAAAATTATGTCGGGACATACCCTATAGAATTACTAACTTCACTGCCCCTTGTAGAATATGTATTAATCATTCTACATTAAAGAAAATAATGGTTCTTACTGGAATGTCTAGGCACTGTACAGTGATTCTACACGTTGGTCATTGTATTGTACCAGTGAAATGCCAAATCTGAAAGGCCTGTACTGCAGTTTTATATGTCAGATACTGCCTGTGGCTGTGATATGCACCTCAAGATTTTAAGGAGATAATGTTTTTAGAAAGAATTTCTGCTTCCACTATAGAATATATACATAAATGTAAAATACTGACAAAAATGGAAGTAGTGTATTTTAAAGTAATTACACGTCTGAATTTATTTTTCCTATTCTATGGTTGATATGACTTAATACTGGAATGGGTAGTCAGTGTACTTATTTTAAATTTTTTGATTCTGTTATATTTTTCATTAAGTTTTTTAAAAATTAAATTGAATATTAAATTGTATGGACATCATTTATTAATTTTAAACTGAATCCCTTAATAAATACTATTTCATTAAGTTTTTAAATGAAGATGAATGATCCCCAATGAAAAAGCATGGTGACATGTTTGAATAGAAGAATCTTTACCAAAAGCAGAAAGTTGGCGAATTTCAAAGTGTTCAACCTCACAATGTTTAGAGTGATTAACTGCCAGATTCTGAGTAGTCATCACATCTGATAGGAGACCATGTGTTTGTTTTGGGGGGTTTGTAATGGATTACTTTATATGTAGGTCTACTAAGGCAAGAGGTTGGACATCTGTGGCCCACAGGCCAATTTGGACTGTGCTTTTTTTTGGGGGGGGTGGTAAAATCTTGTCTGTGGTGGCTTTCTTAGACAGCAGCAGGAATAGTTGTAGTAGTGAGCACATGGCCCAGAAAGCCTGAAATGTTTATAATCTGGCCCATCAGGAGTGTGCCTTGAATTTTATGAGAAATGTTGGTTGTCAGGGAAGAGAGGAGGCTAAGTTGATACAGAGTTCATCTCTCTTTTGTCCTTTCTTTTTTCATCTAAGAATCTGGTTGGAAGGCCAATTTAGAAAAGCTTTAACATATTAAATGTGAAATTTTATAAAGTGAAAAGCCATAAATCATCTGACCTGAACCATTACATGAGGAAGTGTTTTTTTGCAGATGATTCTAAACACTTGTTTACTGTGAATAGTAAGCATTATTCTCTTTCAGTAAAAGTTTTCATCCTGTAATTTCTGGTAAAAAAATGATTTTAAGCTGATTTTTAAAAATGTATCTAAGTAACAACAATTAGTAGCATTAAAAAGAATACATCTTCACAAAATGTGCTTCAGGGACTACAGTGAATTAAAAGAAAATACACTTATTACCAATAATACCTGGGATGACCACCCCATAAGTTTAATTTTGTTTAAACACTGGAATTATACTACAGACAATATTATTTTGTACTGTGAATTTCAGCAGTTTCAGAGTATCTAGATGAGTTTTATTTTAAGCTTTCACTGAAGCCTAAAATCTGTACATTCGGACATGGCCATAAATGGCAGGGTGGAATGATTAATTCCATTAGCTCTTAGCCACTTGTAACTGATTAATCCTGAATTTCCATCCTAAGCACTTAGTAGTAGCCCATCACCATTCTGAGTAGCAATGGTTAACATAGATAATCAGATAGAACTCTGCAGTGTTAACCTTAAGTCAGCCTAACTATTCCAGACAAAAGCAAATGGCATGTGGGTTTGCTTAAGTCTTTAGATTTGCAGCTGACATCAGTTAATCCTCCTCAATTTGTGACATCATAAAGTATTTGTATTTTAAGTAGGAGATAGGAGTTCTGTGTTAAGGCTCTTTATTTGTATTCTATACTTAAAGTAAACTGGTTTTAGTGATTATCCCCTATTTCCTTTCTTGAAATAAATTGTTATGAAAAATATTTTATAATTTGGAAAACTAGAAAGAGAAAAATGGCAAGGTATTTATTGTTCTGTTTGCCATAATTTAGAATTCAACATTTAAACAAGTACTTTGTAGTTTTACATTCCTTTTTAACCCATTCACTGGAGAATGTCCACTTTTCTCCAAAGTCTTTGTTAAGTCAATTCTAATATGTATTCGACATCAAAGATAAACATTTAATAAACACGGAAATAAAGTTTAGCTCTATTAGTGAAATGTTAAATTTGACTGTGTGCTTCCAATAATGGCATATTGTTAGACGTGCCTTTTTTAGGTATTCCTTCAGTTCAGAAGAATTAGAGAATGAGAGGGAGAGGTGTCAAAGATGACTCCTGTTTTGTTCAACTTTATGGATGGCAGTGCCTCTTCACTAAGAGAGAACACTGGAAGGAGACCAGCTTTGGGGAGAAGGAGCACAATTCCTACATTAAGACTTGAGATGTCTTTGAGATACTTAAATGTGTATATGAGGTAGCTGGATATACAGATTTGGGGGCAGAAGGGTCTCATGATAAGAATTTGATGTATAGATAGATGGCCCTTGGAGACACAGGAAAAAGTACTTCTCTAAGGAGAGTGTAGAGCATGGCCTGGCAAACCACAGGCCAGACCTAGTCCATCTATTTTTGTAAATAAAGTTTTATTGGAACACAACTGTGCTCATAGTTTAATTATTGTCTGTGTATACTTTCATGCTACAGTGACAGCGTTTAGTTTAACAGAGACCTTATAGCTTGCAAAGCCTAAAAATAATTTACTATATAATTATTTAAAGAAAAAATGTGCCAATTTCTGCTTTAGAGTAAAGAAAGGGTGAAAACCATAGGATCTCTAAAAGTTAGGTGGCAAAAGGTGAGCAGGCAAAGGAGATTGATAAGCAGTAGCTAAAGAGGTAGAAGAAAATCGGGAGGAATAAAGTTATAAAAGCAAAAGGAAGGGAGTTATTCTGCACAGGTGTTTAATGCTGCTAAGAGATCGAGTAGAGCGAGGAATTAGAAACATATTGGATTTAACCTCCTGGAAATAATTGGTGGCTTAGAGCTTTCATTCCAGACAGTAGAGGGGGCAGATGTCAGAAAGAAGCTACCTTACACAACTCCGAATTTGGGATGTGAAGAGGAGAGAATGAGGCAATAGCATGTCTTCCTTTCCTTTTTCGAGCTATTGCTTTATCTTTAAAAAAGAGCCAGAAGGAAACAGTGAAGAGACTGGGTTCCACAGAAGGTAGAAGAGGATGGGGTCCAAGGCACTAGTGGAGGGATTGGCTCTTAAATGGAAGGGGGCACTTTTAATTTAGAAGGAAGAGAGGCTAGGTATATATGCAGATTTTGTCAAGTCAGAGACCGGAGGAATAATTTTTAAAATTGCAATTTTAAAACAGTTATTGTGGTGAATAAAGTGACCACAGGTATAGTAGGATTGTAGAATAATGTGGAGGACATCTCTGGTGATTGAGAACTTACAGTAAAAATTTGCCTGCTCTGATTTTTTTTCTTTTCCTTCCTAGTAGCACTGTGATGCTTGGGTACAGACACAGAGAAAATGGAGACCCTTGGAGTTTTGCTAAATAAGTTTAAAAGAAAAATAGACAATAATTAAGTAGTTATCGAAATAATTGAGTTATTGAAGTAATGGTCCCACAGTATCTAAACTAGATAGGTAAGGGTGTGAAGGCAACACAAAGCATTGGGAGTTGGAGTCTGGTGGGTAGTCTCATGACAGCTCTGATCTGTTGGGAGTTGTCGAACAAGTAGTTTTAGGGCAAGAAACACTAGTTGTGAGACCATGGGTGCCTGGATTTAGTGATCTGAGAGGAGCAAGTTCCTGGCGTAGTACAATCCAAGGTGTGACCTTGCAGTGGCTAAATGAAGGAAAGGTCATTGGAGATGAGACAAGACCAAGAAACCTGAAAGGACAAGTGGGTCGTATGGGTAGACAATAAATCCTCCAGGGAGATGGCAGAAGTTGTACTGGAGAGGAAAACTAAATCAGGTGCCAGAGTGTTCAGTGAGTGAAGGGAAGGGACCAGGAGGCAGCAGTGAGGAGGGATGCGAACATCAAAGGGATCAGACAGTGGAAAGTGCTGACAGGCCTGCCCAAAGAGCTCAGCCTCATGGAAGGGCCCAAACATGGGTGACAGGTACCAGCTGATTAAAAACTGCTTGAGTACAGTTGCCAACATTTTGATGTCTTAAACCATTGTCCTGTTCCTTCCCTCCATCCATTTGACGACTAAATGGATGGAGGAAAGGAATAATTTAGATTAAAAATTTCTTGGTTTCATTTGCTTGTTGCTACAGACATCCCTTTTACTGATACAGGCCCATGGGTTCAAGCCTTTAAATGTATTTTTAAATTTTTGTTTGTTTTTGAATGTTTTAAGATCTACATTTTATTTTTTAAAGAAGCCAGCCACAGTAGTCTGCAGCCATTTGAACCAGTCGCCTCTCCCATGTATTCAGATTCTTCCCACCTCATTTTAATTTCTTATGTTATTCAGAAATTTATTCTCTTCCCCAGGGACAATTGTATTTGGTTCAAAGTTCTTTATTCCATTAAAGTTTATTAAAATATTTAAGTTATTTAAGCAAAGAGAAATAGGTTCTTAGGAATTTTAAATCATGTGCATTGTCAACTCCACCAAAAAAAAATTTTAACTAACATGAAAATGGATTCAGATGAAAATCAGGAATCTGCCTTCATACATGGGCTGACTGACCCCTCACCTCACCGGTATACAGGACTCTTGGTGACTTCTTCTGTATATTCACAAGGGACCTGAGGCTTTTACCACTTTTCAGAGCTCACATTGCTCTCTCGGTCAGTAGTATAGCCTGCTAGTTGATTTTTCTACCAACTTACAGCATAACCTGCAGAAAAGTACAGTTTTGGTTTATATTGATTTATGTTCATCCCAGAGAAAAGCATCATTCTTTGGTTGGAAACAATTCAGTTTAAGAGTTATTATCCTGACCCACTTTTAAAAATTTCATTTTGTAATTGACTACTGAGCTGTTATATCTTTGACTTAAACTAGGGAGATCATTCTGTAGTTGTTATTAAAATGAATTAGCCCCTGAGCTTATAAGCTTTCCTAGCGAATTAGCTAAAAGTTTACTTCTGATTAGGTCTTCATGAGTTACCTGAAGATTTCTAGCAGAGTTCTGAGCCTGGAAAAAACCAACTCCCAACCTTCAGCCTCTCCTTTTCTACTCCTTTCTACTCAGCCAATAAACAAACATGTTCCTGTTTCTCCCCTCCTCTGAAAAGAAAAGTAGTGCCTCCCTTGATAACACCAACTCTGGATCTCCCTTCTTGCATGCAGGTCCAGACTTTCTGAGCTGTGTACATGTCCACTCCATTCGCTTCCTGTCCAACTCCAGTCTGGTTCTCATCCCTCATTAAGTGACCTTTCCATTGCCAAATGAGTATGCTGAGTTCTCACAGGAGGAGCTCTCCTGTATTTACCATTGCTCATTCCTTGGGAATACTTGTCTTCTATGCTGTGTAACGTTGAATCTCTAGGGCTCTTACCATAATTACTGGTACCTTTTAAATGTCAGCATGTCCCTTTTATCTCCATATTTCCCTTGCCTGATCTCATCTCGTCTCAGTACTCACCTATCTACTAAAGCTTCCGTGCATTCATATCTCTAGCCCAGACTTTTGACTTTCCCTACCCATCTATGATGCATTTCCATCCAGATACCTAGTCAAGTGCACCAGGTCCAAACTTACTATAATCCTCAAGATTGGCTGCCTCATCAGCAGACAGAAGACTTCCTTCTCCATTAACCCCACACACATGGAATCCACCTCACAGTTACTGATTTACCTGCTGAATGATATTACAATCTTGTCTGCACCCCAGCTCCCATTTCAGGCTCACAAGTCTCTTTCTGAAACAATATAAAAAATGCCCAACTGGATATCCTATTCTCGGCTCCCTGTCTGTCCCACTACTACCAGAATATGGAACAAAATCTAATAGTTTCAGTCCCCTGCTTAAAGTATTTGGTGCTCCTCCTTTTAGCCTAGTGGTGATGCTCAGAATCCATTCAAACCCAGAAAACCCTCCCTGGTCTGGCCCATGCCACACAGGCGGTTTCATGTCCGGTCCCTCCTTTTCTGTGTCAGCAACACTAACTCGCTCTGCGCATTAACACACGCACACAGAAACATTACACTATTTTCTGTTCTACTGCCTTTGCTTATACTGACCACCTCAGCCGGGACGCCTGCCTTTGGCCAGCCCATTGTAAGTATTAGGTAAAACACTGTGCAGCTCATTCTGCTGTCCCCTCCCCATGTGCCCTTTCTCTTCTCCATAGGTATTGAGTGTATTTGTAAAAGAGCACTCACAATCCAAGGGTCTGTCCTGTACACGGCAGCAGAGGATGGTGTTACATTCATCTGTGTCTCCTGCATTCAGCACCTACTACACAGTCAGATATTTGTTAAGTAAATGTAATTAAGATAAACACTCTTCCACAGGGTTTTGATACCCTCTCTAATAATAATACCCTGAACATTTTAATAAATATTTCAAACAGGTGGAGCATTTTACTGTTTTTTTTTTTGAGATGGGTAACTGAAGCATGTTCACATACTATCTTGTTGAAAAATACAATAAATTCATAAAGTAAGGTTGTGTCTTCAAAATATAGAGTAGGGAACAAAGGTATAAAAAGAATAAATTACCTAAGATAGCCTTGTATGTAGTTCAGTACTTCATAACTTTCCTTGCATCTTAGACCTCTTGAGAATTTGCTTAAAGCTGTGGCTACTCTTCACAGAAAAATTCTCACAAATAAAACAACTTGTGTGTCACTTAGGGTGATTGCTCCTCAGACCACAGTGAGAACACTAGTTGGCTGCAGAGCAGAGATCAGCATTCAGGGTCCCCGCTCCCAAGAGCCCTTCCCGCTATTTGGACATCTAATGGTGCTCTTGGAAATTTTAAGATTTTCATCACGTTAAACTTTTTTAAATAAAATTTTAATTAAACTACCAAGGGGTTCTATAGATTCACTGATGTGAATTCCAAAATTGGTGGCTATTTTAGATGACCTGGTGAAAGAGAAGCTTGGGAAGTAAAATTAAGAAATCTGATCATGTGCTGTGGGAAGCTTAAGAAGGAATTACAGGAATCTTATGTGCAATCCAGCAATACCAAATTTTTGACATAAGTTTTCTATGTATTTTTATCACTAGAAGGTTTTATTTCCAGATATGTAAGCGCTAAGTAATTCTGACCATGTTCCCACTGAAAACAACAAAAACTAATGAGTAACTTTTTAAATTTTTAAATGTATTGAACTAACAGGACAGTAAGAAATTACAAGGTCAAAATCCAAGTGAAAATGGAACTTTGAAGTGATAGCCAGTGAAAGTGCTTTTGTCTTGGGGCACATACCAAACCTGGGGACTCTGACCTTCAATTTTTAGAGCCTGACAAGACAGTAAACAAATAAAAACTTTCCTGTATAAAGCAGGCTCCCCAAAGGGCAACACTCAGGATGAGGGTAAACCAGTAGTAAGTAGTAAGCCCATCCCCACACCAAGGCGCTGCAAGGAAATTTGCTTTAGCTCTGGGCAGACCAAGTTAAGAACAATCGCCAAGAAGTGGTTGTTGTAGACAAGCCCTTACACCT